GCAGCCAATTAAAAATGCTATGCCATATTTTACCACCTAATTTGCTACAGCAGCCAATCTTTTTTATCAGGGATTAGTAAGAGACACATTCGGCCAAATTATCCATGTTATCGGACAAAATTGCAATTGAAAAATTTAATACAAATTGAACAAAAATACAAGATTTTGTTGAACCGTTAATTAGTGGTTAAAAAAAGTTTATTTACGAAAAAAGCAAATTTTTAATTAATATCCTTAGAATATTAAAGCAAATCAATTAAATAAATGTAATTTTATCGTAATAAATTAGAAACAAAAATGGACAAAGTTATTTATAAGGTAATTGATAAAAACAGTTACAACACTGAAAATAATTAAACCTTGTATATTTCCATCGTACATTCCATGCCATAGATCTCCAGCTATCTACTTTCTGTCGATAAAATATACTTTTAATCGGCACACCTTGCTGGCGGTCAAAAGTTAATGTACACCGCTAGTTAGAGAATGTATATAAAATATAAAGTAATTTATCATGGAGAGTCTCCGTTGTTCGTTACCGACTGTTTTTTTTTTAAGGAACCTTGATTCTTATCGTGTATGTACACCTGAGGCAACGCCGTCCGTCAATAAATTCGGCGGCACTCGCACACAACGAGTCTCTTACGTCGCCTCCTATAAATCCGCATGACGCCGTAAGCGGATACGAGGAAAACGTAACGGTATTTTCAACGTCGATTAAAGTCTCCGAACCGTTCCCCGTATAGGATTAAGATCCACCGGATTACTCTTACGTGTCAGCCTTATTTTACATCACCGAATATCGTTATATCAATAATGCCACAAGAACGTGACTCGAAACTTAAAAATAAGTTTCAAAATCTTTTAAAAATATGTTTTTAAACAAAAATTAAACATAGATCAATTGTGGACAATCAAATGCCATATCAATTTTATAAAAATTCGCATTTTGGGGGGTATCAATTGAACAAACCTACAATAATACAGAGAATCTGATAATAATAGATTGAATCTTAAACATTTTAAATTCTACACACACACACACATATATATATATTATATATAGAGAGAGAGAGAGAGAAAGAGAAAGAGAAAGAATATTTGCTACATTCTGCGCGAATACAAATAACAAAACAACACTTAAGATATATAGTAGCAATCCATATCTTGCTACAAAACGATTTCTAGATCATTAATTACGAGCTGCAACAATTGGTCAATGACGACTTCAATAAGACGGCTGCTGAACTTATTGGATAATCCAACACTACGCCCGAGGAATCTGATGAAATATATGATACTTGTAACACGCAAATGTAGCCCGAAGTGGACGATGATTTATTACGTCAATGTAATTACTGCCGAGCATTCGTAGCGATACTTTCTTGGCAACACATAATTCGTGTCTGGCAAAGGTCCCCGCAGCTACACTCGTCTTACACGGAGAACATAATTACTCGGGATCCTTGGCGGAAATCGATCTCATCGCTCATTGACGCTGTTGAGATCTTGCAAGGAGAAACTGATGACACCATCGAGCGAATTTACGAGTGTCGCCACGTGACCTGCTTTCGTACATAAAATAGTTTTGGCTTTATTTCATGCCGAGAATACTCGACATGTATTACTGTGCTCTTTACCTACACTGAAAAAAAATATAGTCAATTTTAATAAATATTTAGTTCAATACTGCCAATTAAACATTTACTTACAGTAAATAAATATTTGTTCAGTAAAAAGAATGATTGTTAAATCAAATTAATGTTTCTTGTATCAAATAAATATATATCTTTATATTTAATAAATATTTAGTTGGCAGTATTGAACTAAATATTTGTTAAAATTGACTATATTTTTTTTCAGTGTACAGTGAATGACGAAACTGGATATCAGAATAATATTTTTATCGCCGAAATATATACAGGATGACCCATTTTAATCTATCACTCCAAATATTTCCGTTTCCTTGCATTTTACAAGAAAATGTTTCAAACAAAAGTTGTATGGTTTCAAGGAGGCCGTAAAATAGAACCATTGCAAACTGTACCTCATTTTCATTTTTGCACTAAAAATTCATTTTTACGTAAAAATGAAAATAAGAGGTACAATCACCAATGGCCTTGATCTTGACAAATGTTATCT